GTGTGTGTGTGTGTGTGTGTGTGTGTGTGTGTGTGTGTGTGTGTGTGCCAAAATTTATAAAATTAAAATTTTTCGTAATGTAAGATATTTTATAATCCTAATAGAATTTCTGATTCTTCAACGATCTACAGATTTGAGATTAGCTTATTTGAAAGCGTATGTAATCCGCGAAAGGATATCTGTACGACGAGAAGGGTCTTGAAGTCTTGAGATTCTCGGGACTCGGTTACGCGTAACATCAATTTGCGACGAAAAATGAGTCGTTTTGATGGAGCTGGTCGGCGTACCGCGTTTAAGGAGTTGCCTGAATGTGACTAGTTAGTGATAGATTTATGTAAATATTGCCAGGAATATGGAAGCGAGAGCGAGGCTGCCCAGCATGCGAGTGCCAGAATCGATATTAAGCCCCGGGAAGGACACGCTTCTGTCGCGGACAGGAGCCTGGTCCTTAAAATATCCGGGTATCCTGCGGCAATGCTCTGTGCTGCGTTGGTGCTACACATCGGTATATTAAAATTATTAAATGGTAAAAAAAAATAGCGTTCGCGATAATCGTAGCGGCAAGCTGTAATTGTAGAAGTTATAGCGTCGGCCTGTCACTATTGTTACTTCGGGCGATATTTTGCGATAGCGAGAGCCTCGATGAATGGTCGCTAAAGCAGCATGGAGATGCGGTATATCTGAAGGAACTGATCCTTGGATCCCCATACGTCCCGGAAGGAAGTCCGCGCGACCGCGAGAACCTGATGCATTTATCGTAATTTTTTGCGGCATCCGGGAATCGTGTAACTTTCTCTCGCATTGAATGTATATGTATATATTATATATATATATAGATATTATATATTCGATCGTCAGGAAGAAAAGGCGTAGCTTCACTATAGCCGTACGCAAGTACACGAATAAATATCAATAGTTCACTCAGACACATACACACGCACACGCGCATCCTGCCCCCGCTCTTGATCGCTTCCGGTTCGTTAACGGCGAAAACAAGGGAACTACTCGGCGATTATGGCAAGACGAAGTAACGGGGCCGTCTGTGCGCCCCGACGTTTCATTGTGTCTGTTCTATGTATATTTTGTGATTCTCTATACGCGCGAACAAGCATTGTAGATAATTAATTCTGCGTTTTATTATACTTTATTATTATTATTTTTATTATTATTATTAATATTGAAAAAATACAGGTACTAAACCAATATAACTGTTTCGGATACGTTAACGTGGGTAATATATTTGCGCCTTTACATCCAGAGCTCTTCCTCATGCGTTTGATGCGTTTAGTATTTAATTTTATCTCTTATAGAAAATATATGTTTGGAAGAATACCAGTTTTTCGGTTCAAAAAGCCGCACTTTATATTTCTTGTATAACAATTTTTTAAATATAATTTTTACGTGATTTTATTGCTATATAAAAATCAAAAGGAAGTAAATGTGATAGTGATAGTTATTAAATCGCGAATATAATATTCCATTCCTATATTTACGCAAACACGCGTTGAGAATTATTTTTTTTATAATAATCGTATGATATTAATAATTATTAAAACGTGAACGTGATATTTTTGTTCGGTGAATGTAATTTATTTAATATGTTCAACGTTTTAGTAACTATTATTGTACGAAGTAAAAGATATTTATTTTGGCATTGATTGTATTTCATTTCAAAAATTTTATTTAAAGAGGCTGCAAAAATATAAAAAGTGCAATTAAAACTAGCGTGCGCCGTCGTCATCTTTGTTTTGCGTCGTTTTATGTCCGTTTTTGAATAAAATGTTATTTTGTGTTTTTAAATCATCGAAGCAATGTTGCACATGCGAATAAATGTCGCGAGTACTGACCAAAGCATTGAGCAATTATTGTACCACGCAGTACTTTTCGTTCTATTACGATACTATCGATCATAATTAGCTCTGTTTTCTAATCACGCGAGCGAGTATCCATGATATCGAGATTGCGTGCAGCTTCAACGTAAAGCCAATCAGGCACCAGCAGCTCGGTGAGTAATTTCACTTCCACTACATAAAGCTAATTTAATTTGTAAAATTAAAAAAAGAGAAATCAGTTGAGCGTTAGTTGTATTAATATTAATTAGCGCAATTGAAGTTGTAGATAAAGCGCTTTGTTCAGAATATAAAATCAGGAATAGATAAAAACGCAGCTGAGTTCTGGGATATTTTATTTTTTAACTGGCAATTTTCTTTTTATTTTGGACGTTTTTCGGCACACCCTGTACATACGTTCGTACACGACACATTTAGTGGCTCAAAGGTAGAACATCGACCTTCCATCCGTCGAAACTAATACGTTGTATAAGTGCACCATTTATGTTTCTCTATTAATAACAGTCGCGACACACGCATGCATCGTATCAAAATTGGCTCGATAACTTTCGGATAGTTTTTATTTTACGTAATACAGAATGTGGGTAAATTTATAAGCGAGTAAAAGTGTCCATCTGTCTTGAAAGCATTGCGCAGTTTCTACTCCCCTGTCAAAAATTGTATATACAATTACGACACATATCTTGCAAGATTTTAACAACTGACGCGTCGAACAATCGGCGAATAAATTATAAAAATACGGACCACAACAACTACTCTCCTGACCCGTGACGCAAGTGCTCTCGCGAGACTAGGGAACATTCATATAAATAAGGTACAAATTGCGATATAGAAATCACTGTAATTAGGATGTATATAGACTAGGAACGGTGCGAAATATATAATTGAAAAAAAAATGCGCTCCCGTGCTTCTCGTGCTGTTTGCATTGCGACGTCTCGCGCGTCTCTACATTCAAATTTCTACGAATCTGAGGATGTATGAAACTAGAGATTTACAGATTTATCAGTTATACATTTTTATATTTTTCCAATTTAAGAAAATTTTAATAATTCTTAAATCTGAGGGACCTTCAAATGAAATTATCCAAATGCCACGGACGTAATTGTCCGTAAATCCGGGATTCGACACGGTTACGTAAACCTCTGTAAATCTCAAGATCCGTACGTCCAAGAATGACTGACTAGATCAAAAGCACAGGAAGATAAAACGAATTTACAATTGTAATTACTATTCGACGCGCAGAACGCGTGTAGTCTCGCGGAGACATTTGCAAGCCTACGCTTGCAAATCTGTATTTCTTTACGGAGCACCCTATATCCAGACGTTAATAGCTACTTAATAATATTTTTGTCATTCGTTACTTTTTCGTTATTAATTAACACTTTGTACTCAAGTGAAAAAAATTAACATTTATCCGAAACTCATCAATTTGCGAGGCGTTAATCTTTTCATATCCGATTTACGAATGCATGTAAAACGTGAAAACGTCCTCAAAATGTAATTTACAAAAGAGTTACGGAATCTTTATTTTTACACTGATTCTTAATATTTTATAAATATATAGTAACATTAAATCATGTAAAATTGTAACATCTCTGTTATATTTTCACATGATACTCGAGTGCAAAATGTTAAATATTAAAAAGATTGCACTATATAATGTATATATATATCGGCAGTCCATAGCGGTGTAAATTGTCCGCGACACTGACGGACAAAAATTACAATACAAATACAGTCGATACAAGTTGTATTCATGAACGACAGATTAATATTTTGCAAATATTTCTTCAAGTCTTAAGCTCTGTAAATCCGAGACTTTTGAATTTTAGAGATCGCACATTTAACTATGCAGATTTAAAAACCCGAAGGTTCGAAAAAATCCAAATCAAACGATTCAAATGATCCACATACTTTATAATTCAAGGATTCGATACTGAAAGTGTTCTGATATTCAAAATTTCATAAATCGTGAGATCTAAGAATCCTCGAATTCGATTGAATTAAGTATTTATGTATCACAAAACAGCGTCGCTCATGGCTGGTATCGCGATAAAATCTAAAAATCCACGCGGTATAAAAGAAAAACGAGGGATCGGTCGATCTCCACGAGATCAGTAACAGATCCGCAGTAATTAAGTACAAATCACTAGTGACATTTATAAAAGATACAATCGGGCCGTGTCGACTGGCGATCCGCGGCACCCGTTATCACACATTTCGCGTTATCACTGTACAAAATGTCGATTCTACTTCTAGTTCGCGAAGTCTTGAGCAATCTTCGTCGAGAGAACGCGGGGGATGGAATCGTCTCCCCCGGCGCGTCTCCCGTCGCGAAATGGGCTGCTCTCACTCGGGAGGTGGCTTAAACGTTCAAGTCCTCCCAATCCTCGATCTGCCGAGGAGTAAGCTCGATCGTGATCCTGGTCAGAGTGCGTAGGAGGTCGTGCAATCTTGACGGTAACGGGTTCGCCTGCAGGTCGATGAATTCCAGAGCGGGCGCGTGCCTGAGCCTCTCGACGTCGATATCTGCGGAATGAAACCAATGATGTTGTCATTTCAAGAAAAAATCTATTACATTCTGAAAATTGTCCTTTGTTTTGATCACGATAGAAATGCGATAATTTACCTAAGACCTCTTTTTCGATCTATATAGCATTAGAAATTGGACTCGTTGAAATTATATCGATTTTAATCCTTGAATTAAATACTTAATGTTGATATTTTTAGTACATCCAAAATTATTCTAATAATTGCATGGTTTTAGGATACCTTTAGGATAATTTTAGGATACTTTTTGAAAGGAGGAGTATTGTGCGATCCGTTAATTGATTGAATTGCTGTTTAATAATATTCGATGAAGATCTTACATAACGACAAGTTAATCGATACTGACCGATGATGAAATTGTTGCTGGCGAGAAGTCGTTTAAGCTGCGGTATCCGCCAGGCGACAGATGGTAGAGCGATGAAAGTGTTGTGCGAGATATCGAGTCGTTCCAGAGCTTGCAGCTCGGCCAGCTCCTCGGGCAACTTGCTCATCTGATTGTGGCTTAAGTTCAATTCTGCAAACACAATACGCGTCTTGTTGAAATACATAATAATGTGGGATTTTTTAAGCGGAAATTCTCCTAAAAGTAAATTTTATAAAAACGGAGATTTAATTTGAAACTGCTCTATAGTTCATCACTCACCGGTGATTAGTGAGAATTTCACGGCAAACTTTGGAGGGATTTTCGTGATCACGTTGCCGGAGAGGTCGCATCTCTTCAGCTCCGTGTGCCGCATCAGATGGTAAACTGCGTCCGGGATTTGCATGAGCTGGCATTCTGACAAGTCTAAAAAGTAAAACGAAAGAACGTATATACAGTTTCCTGAAAAAAGAAAAATAACACAAACGTCGTGACTTTAAGTTAATGGGTTTCAGGGTTCTCGTTAAATTTCAGCCGCCATGTAGAAATTAGAGTAAAGTCATTTCGAAATTAATTAACATCAATTTCAGCGATAAATTCATTTTCAAAACACGAAACGAGTATTGTGTTTTAAAAATGAAATAAAAATTAATATCTTCGATTTCCGGGGGCCCCCGCACATCCTTCATAAATAATGAAAGTGTAGGCCGTTATTTATTGCGATCTTGTATCTTTCGACATATATCCTACTATACTATCCATTATATAAATACCTTCTCCCTTTCTCCAAATACTCAATCGTAATTTTTAATGGAAATCGACAATCGAATATCGACAATCAGTGACGAAACATTGGATGAAAAATAAATAACTCTTTTTGCACTAAAATAATTATTCTTCCAATATTTTATTTCGCGACAGCATCTTTCGATGCGCGAATAGAATTCCACCTGTGACTGCGATTAACGTTAAACCGAGAGAACATATATACGACTTTCCCGCGCGCGCGTTCAGATATCGACAAACATCGGTTAAGCTGTAATAATGAAATTATAATGTAAAGGTGCTCCGCCACTCGGAAAAAAAATGAGAAAACGCCAGTCTATAGGCGCATCATAACTGCTGAAAGTGCACTTAACGTCAGCGCGCACCGCGTTTCACGCTTTCTCCAGCACGGAAGACCGCCGACGCTGAATCTAACTCGAAGAACGCGCGGGAGCCGAGAATGTGTTACGGAACAAACGTATATATTCCGCGTTATATATTTATCAATCATCGCGATCATTATAACATCGACGCGCACGCGGTTCCGGAAGGATAACGAGCCGCGCAGAATTGCGCGATTTAGTAATTCAACAACGTGGATTCGTTATGCGCTTCGTGAAGTTGAGCAAAATTATCGAATCCTCAATCCAATTCTAATAAACTATAAAAAGAATCAAGCTCGTGTATTTTAAAATAATGTAGTAGTAAGTAGAAAGTTCACAGGCCAATAAACGAGCAATCGAGAGACGTTAAAAACGTCCCTATGTATATTTAAGATAAATTTAAGAGATATTAATCTATTTTTAATTTTTATATATTAAACTATTTTTAACTAGTTTTTAAATTTAATATCTCTCAATTGCTCGGCCTTTGAACTTTCTACACAACAAATTCTAATAATTAAGAAAAATGCTGCCTCATATTTTCCTCTTCTTCGTGGAGGAAACCTTCGTGGAGAACCCAAGAATTATAAAATTCTCGTAAAATTTTGTCATTCTGTAAATTCGGACGCTGTTGAATATCGAAATCTCCAAACTCGATGCGAAGAGAAAACTGTACAATTATACAATGAAATTTCTTCGGTTGTAAGAATCAATTAAGCCGCGTTTTCGCAATTTCTGCTACCCCGGTCCCGGTCGCGCACCAATGCGAAATGCGAATAAGCGCGTTACGAAAACATCGCGGTGGAATGGTGGAAACCTGGCCGCGAAACGGACCCGTCGCGGATTAAACAATCTTCCTGGCGAATTTTAAACGCGAGCAAAAGGAATCGCGTGTCGCTTTCACCGAATTTACCGAGGCTCTCGTTCTCCTTCGCCTCCTCGCAGCGATGAACCACTCTGGTAACGGCGTGCGCCATTTTCGACGTCGCCGTCGCCGGGCCGCACTGACTCACCGACTCGCGGTGTTCAGAGACTGCGTTTGAAGCATTTATTTCTGTGCGTGCCTGCCGAAATAAATCCCACCACCTGGTCGGCCGTGATACTCATCTCACGGCTCATTCTCGGATATCTCGGGTTATCGAGGGGGAAATGCACGAACTGTTCCGCGATGGCCGAACGAGCGCGCGCGCACGCGATATGGGCTGCGTCTTGCGCCGGAAATCGAAGATTTGGATATTTAGAACATCACGTTTCGCAAGTGCTCGACGAGGCTTAATCGACTGATAAATTTTGAATATTTTTTTAACATATATGGCAAGGGGACTGGAGTGAAAGTAGTCGTCAGATTGTTATTTGTTTGTCACAACGTCGTTTCCGGATAAGCTAATTGCTCTGAATCATATGGCCTTGGATTTAATTTTGATAAACTTTAATTTTATGTGTCATAATATTTTTATCGGAGATCTTGAACTTTGCGCGATTAGTTGATTCTTATAAAAAATGTTGGATCCTTATAGATAGATTGAAGTGCAGAATATATAAAAAAAGGCACAACTTAATTAATTATAATTAATTAATCATAATCAATCATAATCAATCATAATTAATCAATTATAATTAATTTAATACTATTCTACGAAAATTGCTCTTAATTCTTTTGGACTCATTTTCATTTGAATTAAGAATGGTCTTTCTTTCGCAAACAAGTATTTAGATTATATTATATTGTAAAACATTCTATAATTCGTGCAAAAGATAATTAAGTGGGAATAAAATACTCGAACGGGCAATTGTGCAATTAGTATGAGAGTCATTGTGCAATTAGTATGAAAGTTATTTTTCGCTATTGCTCTCACGCGGCTAGTTAACGTGCGTGCGATCGTTTTTCTTCGCCAAAAAAGTAGTAAAAAAGGCCCGATATCAAGCTGCCATTTAAGGTCGCGATGCCTTATACGGGAACTTCTCGCATTTGTAGACGCGCGTTTGTGCGTTTCGCGCTGGAAAGTTCCTGCATTTCTGGATTCTTACACGGGATCTTTCTTCCACGCACGAAAGCCTCAGACACCTGCAGAGCTGCAGGTGCAGTATCTGCAGCAACTATGATTACAAAAAAAAAAGAATGTTTTATAAAATAAACTCATTTCTTTATCTCGCTGGATGCAATATTGAAGATTCAATATTTATAATCTAAGTTAATGTCAGTTTGTATTAAATCTTTAACAATGCGCGCTAAACTTGTAACGTGTCACAGTTCTACGAAATCAGAAGTCTTTTATGACTCGGACTTGATCCGGAATTGGAATCAGTGGAGGATCAATAGCGATTTATTGCTCGCGCAGTCGTTCTTTGCCGCTTCATTCGTATTACAGATGCGTGTCTCGTATTTGAAGCTATACAATAAAAAGATTCATAAAGGCGAGGAACAGCCTCCGATATTCGGAGCGCGTAGATCAGCATTGCCAAGGCTTCGCTTTACTATTCCGAGATCGACCTTTCGTGCGGTGCATCGGGTGTCCCGAAGATACGCGCGAATACCCAGACGACGATACCGACCGCAGAAGATCACCGGGAGCTGTCCCGCGAGGCTCACGATACGCGAGAAGGAAAGAGACAAAGGCCGGATACGCGCGTTGTGTAACGCAATGTTTATCCAGTCAATTATCTATGCCGGAGAGTTGCTAAGCGAGCATTTCACTTTTATCCGCGAGCTCCGATGCTCGAGAAACGCCACCCGTTTATTTATCCAGTCCTGGGTAACTTCTCCACCGTCGGCAGCTTCGTGTATCATATCTTCGATTTTATTAGCTGTTGCAATAACAGCTCACTTAGCAAATATCGTAAATATCCTGCTGATTTTTAATGAGCAGATTTAAACGTCTTGAAAAGCTTTTAAAACACATAAATTATATCTTTGGATAACTTGTAATTTATTGTTGCAGTTACATCATTGTGATCTGTTTCATAAGCGGTATAGAAAAAATAAACGGGAAAAGGAGAGAGATTTTTTAAATCCTCCCTCTCTTTCGTTATTCGTGATACATTTTTCTTCACACTGCTCGTTTATGATATAATTGTATCTCTTTATCTTTAATGAAATTAATATTGAGATTGCAAAGTGGAACGGAAATGTTTTGCACGCACTACTACTATGTGATTGCTTTTACGTGATGAGGACGTCATTGGCATGATCCGTACTTTCTACGGAACTATGTTATAAGTTTTTTGCCGCAACAGGAAATCGTTGCCAATACGTTGCGTCCCGACGATCTCGACAATCAATTTTTATTTGCCGTTCCTTGTTTCCCCTTTCCTTTTCTTTTTTTTTTAATGCATGCAGTGTTACGCGTGTGAGAAAAAACGTATATCACAAATCTTGACGAAAGTAGGAGAGTTCGTTAGTCGCATAAAACAAACTGAGTCATCCGATAATGCATTAGATAAGATAGGTATTAACGGGACAATACGCAGAAAACGTTTTGTTGCGATCTCTACCGCTTAGCCACTTGTGATATTTTTATCGTAATCCGATAATTGATTTGCCCTGTGAATATTATGCTTACATCGTAGAAACTGCGTTTTTCTGGCAGTTTCAGATTTTTAGAACTTTCACAAGTTCTCCAATCGGAATTATAAATGCAGTTGCAGATTTTTAACACAAATCTCTGCTATCATAATCATTAATATCATGAATCTTTAGTATCAGACCTTTGTTAGCCTTTAATCTTAATCAAAATATAGAAAAACATCGATGAAATAGGCTTTTGACAATGCATTTCTTGGTATCAGTGATTTCGAACTTATTCAAATTCAAAGGAATCTTGGATGTTTGAAATTAATTCTTACTGTTTTTGTTACTACAAACTTTTTCATTTCATAAAGTCTTAAGACTGCGATTCAGGTGCATGTTACAAATTTCTGATTTCGTAGAATCGCGACGCTACAGATTCCGAAAATTGAACTCGTACCTACATTTTTTTATCGAACGGCACGAATGCGTACGTTTTAATTTCACGAATATTTACTCAGTGCTCACCGTTTTTTCGTCCATATGCAAAAACCCCGATTTTAAACTTCAGAAATTCTCAAAGTTATTTTGTTTCCAATGTACATATGTATATGCTCATTAAATTACAATCTGCGTTTGATTGTAGTCTGTGCAATCGTAATCTGTAGAGTACGTTTTATGAAAGGTGTGGTGAGTCACAAGCATCGGCACATTAAAAACAGCAAAAGCATTGTTGATCAAGGTTACGGTGTGCGCAGACGGCGTTGTACAGATAAGGCGAGGGTGGAAGTTATCTCGAGTCAGGAAGTACAGTCGATACTGACACATGCATATTATGGTGTTTACAAACTTGGCTTTTTCGTAGATAACTTTCTTAATGGCGCGATTTTAACTTAGATGGTAAAGTAAAAAAATCTGTGCCAAGTCGAAGGATTTCCACATCTATCGTATTAAATATTTTTATTTGATTTGTAGTCAAGTATAGACCTGTTACACTTCGGCATTGAAACTCATTAAAATTCATAGCAGAGAGATCAAGAAATTAAAAGGCGTTTCGAAGATTCGAGTCGTCTTTTAATCTAAGGAACGTTGCAAGCATTTCCAGAATTTTTCTGGATATCCGAAGAAAATCTTTAAGATTTAAAATGTCTTTTAAACAATAATATATTTCACGCACAATCTTATTACCTAAATTGCAGTTATCTTGGGCCTCTTCGCATCGTGAAACCACCCTGATGATCGCCCGACCAGCCAGTTGCACGCAAACTGCCATCGCGACATTCCTCTCGCCTTGCTCCTGCGAGATCTGCTGCACCTCTTCTTCGTTATACGGCGGCCTCATGGTTCTTTAACACTTCGTTCTTACAAGGGATTTCAACTTACAGCGGACAAGCGCGCGAATGTAAATCTTTCGAGTTTGTGATGTCGAAAATCAGCGACGATCTTCGCGCATTCGCCAAGAAACTACTTCTGGCAGTAACTTCTCTTATTCGATTTCTATTATAATCGTTAGAAAAACATCATACAAGCTTAAACAGCTGTTATTCTTTTTATGAATTTTACACCCCTTGGTCACTGGCAAAGCTCTAAACTGTATCCGGTAACTCCGCGTACTGAAGATAGAAAGACTTCGGCTAGAAATCTAGATTTGGTGTACTTTGAATTCAGTTAATCCAATTTCTTCTGCGTAGAAAATTTTGCCAGGATGAAAATCCGCGCAGATCTGATCCCAACGTTTCCAAGGAGTATTCTTCTTTGTGAAAACTTCTTTCGAAAGTCGAACTTAACTCGAATAACCAGAGCGTTCCTCAAAGAATCATCCAAATAAAAAAAAGACGCAGATTTTCGATTTCTTCACGTCCTTCAGGCTTTCGTGTGATTTCAGGATGCTGGAGTCCGGAACAAAGTCCACTTCGAGCGTGACTCTCAAGGGATCCTCGTTTTCGCGAGTGAACTTCAGCGGGACGCAGGTCCGGCCGACTTCCTGCGCAACTTTAGGACTTTACAAGTCCTCGGTCCTTGGAGTACCTGAAGACTGTCACGGCGACCGAGGCCCGTTTCAGGTGACTCCGTTCAACACTGCCTGCACAAGTGTTCGCGGTGCTATTTAAGCCTTCGCCACTTCCCCCGCCATCGGGGAAGCGTCTCAAACAGCTGACTACTCTGTATGTGTGTGTGTATCCACTCTCCCTCTCTTTGTTTGAAAACAAACGCAGCCAGATGCACCGCGCGACATGCAAGCTGTCAAATTCGGCGTCGGGATTTCCGCGTTAGAAACACGTTTGTTCAAGGTTTTCCTGCTGTTTCAGGGTTTCTTCGGAAATCTCTCCAGGTCTCTTTTGTTTCGAGACTGAAAAAAAATGTCAATTAATAAATTGTTTTAAGATCTTGCGACTTTTTAAATGATTTAAATTGAATGTGTTTCGCGTTGAATGTTTTCTTCGCTTCTTAATTTTCTATTGTTTTAAGATTTCTTCAGGGTTTTCTTGAGTTTTTAGATTTAGATTCTTCTAAAATTTCCATTGAGATTTTTGCGTTAAAATTATATCTTCGCCGTGACTGTTCTGTAGTTTTTTCAAAAAGAAGAACCCTCGACGATACAACTGGACAAACGTTAAAATTGTACAAAATTCATCAATCGTTAATTTCGATTTTATGCTAATTATTGAAATTATATTATAATATAAAATTATAACATAATTTTCAAAAAAAAAAAAAAATCTGTATATTTAAGGATCAAGTTCAAGGATTGAGGCTTAACAATTCGACGGATTCAATTTTGATTCCATTAGATTATGATTTATCTCACAGCATTACAAGCTAACGAAGTATCATTGAAGATAAAATAGAGATTACACATCGAAATGGAAAAGCTTCAATGTCAGTGTTGATGCGCGTCGAGCTTTCTGACTGCGCAGTTTTTTCAAACAAAGAAGTTTAAACAAGATATATCCTTTGTTACTTCGCTAGAACTTTACTTTTTGTGTCGTTAAAGATATCTTTAAATATACCTCTTTCCATTGTAAAAACATTGTGCTCAATTATTGTTTAAGTACATTAAATACAATCGTTATACAAATAATGAGTGTAATTCTCAAAAAAAAAAAAAAATAAATAAAAAAATACGTAAATGACGTCAGAGGAAGATCGCAATGAGCGTTGACTCAGATTTCTCGAATAAATAGGAAGATACATTCGTATACACGGAACAGCGCATCCGGTTTTTCCACGTGTATGTGCAAAATTTGTTCACTCAAACTGACATGCGAAATGAAGATCGATAATACTGTGTAAACTCCCGTTGCGGCGGGGCAAAATGCCCACTGCGCCATATTCCGGATTCCATTATCTACGCTAAAACACAGTATTTTATCTTTATATATTCAACAAAATTATTATAGAAAACATAATACCTAAAATATTAATATAAAATTAATATGAATCATATTTTCATCATATTTCTCCGTCGACATTATTCTTTCGTAAAAATAAAATTGGTTCGCAAAAAAAATAATTCAAAACGCGCAATAAATATTTACCGCTTTTACCACGTGCTAGACAGTTTACTATGCGCAATTCAGCGTAACATTTGGGAAATCGCGGCATAGACGTGCGTCACTATTTCGCTGTAATAGTGAATTATCACGCGAATGTCCAGAGAAACTTGCTAAATTGCCAAAAGTGAGAACGCGTCTCACAGCACAAAGCGACGCGAATACGCGGTCACGTTTAATTTTGGCCAAGATCGCGAAGAAGCGAAAAAATCGGTCGCCTTTAGATCTCTTTTGTGAATCCATTGGAAAGCTATTTTTTTCTTATTTGTAAAAGATAAATCATTTTTATAAGAGCATGTTTTTATTTTTTGTCAATCGAAAACGTCAACGATGCATTCGGCTTGTTATAAAATAGAATATATTTTGTTTTATCTTCCCTTTGCAAATGTTTTATTCGTGATTGAAGTCTCGCATGTTTCTTGAAGAGAACGAAAAAACGACAAAGACGCGTTGGCGAGACGAATTTCGCCACTGTCTGCAACCCCCCACACGCGAGCACTTCTTCTTCCTTCGCGTTAGAGGAGACTTTGCTCTCCATTCATCGTGAAGCTCAGTGCTCAACAGGGACAAAATGTTTATACGGTTCCGCGGTATGCTTGGCCCGCGGCCAGAGGATACTGCGCGTACATCTTGCCGACGAAAATAGACAGCCGCGGACCAAAATCCCCCATGACTTCTCTTTCGTCGTTTTCGCCTCTTCGTGCGACGTAGGGCACGAAATGACGAAGACCAGAGGAGCTGAGGATGCGTGGCTCCGATCTGTGGCAGTTGATATTGGTACAACATTCTTGAATCCTTAGATAAAATTTTGAATCTCCTATATTTTCTGGATTTTTAGATTCCCGAATATTTGTAATTTATCTATGCGAGGGTCATCAATCTTGATATATCTCAAAACCATCGGATTCTCAACCCTTTAAATTTCAAGTCCTTGAAGATCTCGAACATATTCAAATTCTGCATTCTCCAATTATTTATATATTTTCCAATCATTTAGAAATTAAATTTTTAGATTGCTATTTAATATTTAGGTTCTTTTAATTAAATTATATAGATTCATATAGATTTCTCAGCATCTATTGGCACGTTGATAGATGCAGAAGGAAGTGAGTATCTTCGCAGCTTCTGCGTTGACTGTGGCCGGTTTCCGCTCTCATCTCTTTTCTTCTTTAACAGAGAAGAAACAACGTTGGGGGAGGACACCTTGGCACGCACCCTCGCCAAGCAGCGTACATTGGCCCTGCGGCATCGTTGCCGCTGACGTCTGTCCCGTTCTTTGTAACACGCGACCGCGTGTTCTCTCTACTGCGTCTTCAGTTTTCGATGTTTACTGGGAAATCGTCTACGCGAGCGGCGATGATTTCACAAAAACAGCCGGACGTACGAGGGTGAGCACGTGCCTCTCTTGATTGACGTTCTTTCCTGGTGGAAAAATGTCACAGAATTCTTCATGTTATTAATCAGAATTTTTATGCAAATTGTAAGACTTTCTCAGAATGCTAAGAATTTTTCAGACTTTTTATACGAAATAATAAAATATTTCATATTTTTCCCGCTAACATATTATAGAAATCTAGGGCTATATAAGAAAATCTGCACAATTTATCAAAAATTTTTATACCTTCATCTCTAATCGCAATTTTGCAGATTGAATCCCTGTTGCAATTTGTTTCAAGCTTTTCGTAAATATAAATCAAATTAATTTTTTTTTTCGACGTGGAGAGATGGAAGTCAGATAAAGTCTCCTAAAAAATCTAAGGAAAGAGTACAAGTAAATAATATACATAAACGAGTACAAATAGATATAATACAAGATTAGTTGATCATGAAACAAACGTCTTTAGCAAGGACGTGCGAGATCGCGACAGAAATGTCGTTCGCGACGCGCGTGACGCGCGTTCACGCGACCTCGATTTTCGCGAATGTCTATTTTTCATCGTGGAATTTTCCCGGCGCGAAGCAACACGATCCGACGACGCGTCCTGTCTCGATGACTTTTATTGCGACTTCTGTGTATCTTTTGAACAGGCGCCGAGCTCTCTCGTTGCACGTGTGCCTTTATACAAGGGTGAATTAAAAATCAAAGACACAAAAGCCTCTCAGCGCAAACAAAATGCAGTCCGCAATGTGTTCGTTAGAGGAACTCGATAGGTACGGTGAACCGCGTTCTGCTACTCGCTCGCTTTTAAAATTGCCAAACTTTTTCGAAGAATATATTATTCAACTTATAAATAAATCTCAATTTGCGGCATGATATACGAGCTGCATTGATATACGATCTACAATTAATTCCCAGATAAGAATTCCAATTAGAAATCCAGTGGTTTTATAAATCGCAATTGCATTCTCAAGTGTCAATAGATCAGTTAGAAGGTACATACTAGGGCGTATAAACAGTGTGAGATTTACGACGAGATTAACAATCTATATTCACCTTTATATCCACTTTATGTATAATAACAATGAGCGATAATACATCGGTTTGCAATCGCGAGACGCGCAACACCTTAAATTACGGCCACACAAAAATGCTTATGGATGGATTTCGCTAATACGAAGCCGTGTCTCGTACGTCTATTAAATGCACTGTGAACAATTAAGTTAAATACAGTCAAAATTTGCATAGCTTCTTCGCCGGTCGTCATATCAATATCGTCGATTTAGGCCAAAGCGGTAAAATTCTTTGATTATATTTTCAACAGTCAAAGATCTGTATTCATTCAGTGCATTTAGCGTTACACGTGACCATCCAATTGCCATCACAGGCCTAAGCCAAATGCATTTTTTACGTAAATAGAGATCGGAACCGCAGAATCATATCTAATGCTAAATATAATGCCAAATCTTTCAACTCTCTAAATGCACGCTCTCTTTCTCTCTCTCTCTCTCTCTTTCTCTCTTTGTCTTTAATGTATGAATATAGAGTTTAATGCCATTCGTTATAATTGTTCCAGTTCATAGATATGTTCTGTGTTGAGGTTTAAGTTATTTGGCACCATCTGCGATTCTTAAGTAAGACACTGAAAAATGTCAAGTCATGGCATCTGTTTTCATTTCCTTTGTACGATTATAATCCGAAAGTGAATTATTTAATGAATAAAGAGTAGACGTACTGTAATTTAATAGGGACATAGAAAGCAGAATAGACATTAAAATACCTTCTGTCCAAATATTTTTTGAATGATCCATTAAGATCGCAAATTGGTTTAAATAGCTTTGTCAAAAGAGACGTGAGGTCTGAAAATGTTATTAAAAACGTGCAAGATATCCTCTTATCACACGTATTTTGGCGCAATGCACAACCGTGCACGTATTCAACAACCATCCAGTACAGATCATTACCTACGATCGCGACAGATCGTCACCTCAATCTATAAATAGTCTTATAAATTCGCACGTTATATGTTCATCACACATTACATTTGCGAATCTAATATCGCATAAAATTGTTATCAGATAAAATGTAATTATTAGGCATTTGGGGAATCGCACTGTTTTACGGAAAGCCTTTTTTTAGACAATGTGCATCGTTTCACAAACGAAAGCATTCTCTTGTGTGAATACACACGCACCTTCCTACGTACATTGCAATAATTATTATAACAATCTATTAATACTAACTTTAACGAGTTTGGTGTTCTCTCTTGGTGAACGTCTCTGAGTATTATCTAGCTACATATGTAATGCAAATTATAACACGCAAATCGCGATAAAATTATTAAAAGTCCTTAGACGAAATTATATTATTTGCGTGTGTAATTTACGTACGTATTATTTATATACATGCGTAACACATACGCAGAATTTTGATTAATCCTGTACAGTGCGAATAATTACGTATTTGTTTGCAGAATTTAAGTTATTAAATTCTGTAAATTAAAGAAGATATAAAAAATAATATTAAAAAAATCTCTTAAAAAAAGATTTTAAAAGAAAAATATAATTGTCCAATATTTAATGTCATTAAAGATTTGCTATTACGGAATTGAATTTGGACTAGTAAATTAATACTTATATTTTACCATCTCTATTTTCTTACCGACATTCGTGTGAATAGTGTTAAAGATCAATCAATTGACTAATGTAGAATAGGCTTTGGAACAGCTATGGCATAATATGTATTCAAAAACAAACACACACACACGCATACACATTTTTTCTCTTTCTCTCTGTAACTTTATAATATATATGTATAATATTTATATAACGTTACATCAACGTTAAATTTTGAAAAATGTATCGTCACGTAACGTTATAGTAATGCTACGTAAATAAGGTTTTCTAAAATATTATACGGTAAATAGTAGAAACGAGAAAAAGTGACACATATAAGATATAATTGTGATTCTGATATCTGCACTGATGGAATGTTTATAAATTGGAATGTTATCTGGAATCTGAACCGATGGAATGTTAGATATTTGCTCCCTATTTATCTGTGCATAGTAATATAAATATTTCTGTGCATTTTATACAGCCTGATGTAACATTACAATTTTAATAATTAATCCATATTAAGTCAATATTAAAAAACGGCAATATCATCATAAAATTGATGTAACGTCGCATTAATGTCACGCAGTCGTTGCTCATTACGAAATAAATTGCGAAAGCAAACCATTATTATCCATTACCAGATATCCTTACATTTTCCATGTTCATTGTTTATAGAGAGAGGCGGTAAATGCGATTTTCTCTTAAAGCTGCCGCGTTTATTGGATGCTTTCCTGTTAAGATTCCTTGCTGGCTTGTGGTCGGTCCACCGCCTCCTGCGCGTGTTGCAATCCGGCGCAGTAGTGCAAAAGCAGCACGCTTAATGCCTGTACTCGCAGATCACTCTGCGCGATCAGTTTCACGCTGTCTGCATCCCCGTTCTGAGACAGGTCCAATCTTGAGGTAGTTTCGGCGTCTAGCGCGTTCTTCAATTTTCCCATCTACAAAAGACACATATCCGTTTAGCAGAACGCATTTTCGTTACATTTTTATATTGAGCCTACAAGAAATTTTATTGTTGTTAATCAGAGTGATTCAACGTTCAAATATTCTTGAACTGGAGTGGGAAATTTTTGGGTGTTTGAATACCTTAAATCAGAGTAGTCCATGGATTTCTAGATTCGTGGAACGAATCTCTCGAGTTATCTACTTCGAAATTACTTGTGCAGTATATGAAAAGGACTTGTCTCGCGTACCATGGTGTTGATCTTCTCGACACGCTCCTGCGGCTCCAGGTACTTGTACAAGAATTTGCCGGTGTCCCTGGCCCTTGACATAAGACCGTCGTCCAAGTCACCGGCCATAAGTGGAGCTGCAACACTTGGCTCAGCACCCTCCAAGAGGTCAGGACTTATTCCCAGACCTCCAGCCAATGAACTCTAAACGTTTCAACAATTCGATCAGATTGATTAATCATCGCCGTGCGATCTCAGCGAGGGGCATCCTCGTTCGATGCTATGCAGATTCGGAAAGTGAAACATAATCAAGCGGTCGAGCCGATCATGCGTGTGAGTCACATTGATCTTCCTACATCTATAATATGATCACCGTATGTAAGCCTTGCCTCCAGTGTTAAGGTGCAATTGCAATGCAATCAGTGCCGTGTTCATCGTGTTGTTGAAAATCCTCGTCAATGAGAAAACTTGCAACAGTTTCGGGCAAACGATGGAAACAACATCTTATGACAGAAATAATAATTTGTGTAAATGACATAGTGATCACTGAGCATTAAGGGATCAAAGAATCTAGTTATTTATAAATAGACGATAAAAAAATTAGTATAATGATTAAATTAGACCAACATTATCTCAAAATCCATCATTTATCGCTAGTATGCAGTTACCAATCTCTTTATCTTGCACTCTTGCGTGCGAGAGTATCTTAATGTATCTTCGATGATGATTGTAACGCGTGATTGATGAAGGAATGATTGAAGATGAATAAACACACAAGCATGAGAACTGCAAGATATAAAAATTCTTCCAAAGAGCGTATTGTTTTCTTTTGTTTCGGTTTGAGAAGACAAGTGGAAGAAAGTGAAGCGGAGAAGGTTTGATGCGACTCTGATAAGAAAGCTATGGTGATTAAATTAAAAGTCGCATAATTATTCACTATTGAGAAGAAAGAACGTTTTACTTAAATTACCGCAGCTCCTCTTATTTAAGATTTAATGCAATTTTTGAAATTGCGAAAGATACTTGCTGAATATGGACAACTTCAGATTAAATCTAATTACGATATATTATGTTTCAACATACTTTTAATATAATCTTTTGTAATTAAAAGTAATACAAACTGTAATTATTTATATTCGGATTGTAATGTTACCGCCTTGAATTCTTCCATTATGTCCTCTGTTCATCGGAATCGCAATGCTAACGAATAAAGCCTGTTTAAAATTTACGTTAGATAAAATTTTTGTGAAATCGAGCACATGCGATCCTTCTCCGCTTCGGGCGAACAAATGTGTGTTGTTATTCTACCTTGCGGGATGCACAGGGACTTGGGGGGAGACTTCGAGATGCCAGACCAATACCGGAAGCCGGTGGGGCCAAGCAACTGGTACTTCCAGCCTTCTTCAGGCCAAACAGAGTGTTAGCTATACTAGCCTTCACGGCCATCATACTTGCGCCCTGATTAACCGATCAATGGATTTCAAATAGATTAATACCTTTTCACCATTCACGGTAACAAGTTATCCGTAAAATAATAAATCAAAAGTGCAAAATTGGTTGCGCGTCGTAAAGCGTACATTGTTTTACCAATAAAGTATAGAGTCTATGTATAATTTCAAAATGCTTAGTATCTGTCAATTTATTTCCAGCCAAATTCTGAAACACATTAGACCGAAATGAAATATAAGTAGATATGTGTGGATACACTGTATATTTATTTCACAGAAATCTGTGTCAAAAATTAAAAGAATATATTTAGAATAATAATTTTAAAATATTTTATTTCGCAGATTTTTCAGAATTCACATGTAAATTGTATACTTTATCGATAATTTATCAATAACTCCTCGTACGAATAAAGTTTCATACGAGAAAAGAAATTAAACTTATTTTTCTACTCGTGTGTAATTCATTGAGAACAAAGGCAAGGTCAAGAGGTGCAAGCTTTACAAAGAACCTTCACCTCCCCGTGCATATGTTCAGTTCGTTTTATTGCCAACAACAGAATGCAAGTCACGCATAACAATCTCTGCTTTCTATATACAAAATATCAAGATAAATGCATTTAAAGACACACGTGAGTTCTCAAATATTGTACAGTTCCTTAACCATGTGACATGTCATCAAGCACTCCTATATCTCATTGATATGTGATAATGATAATTACTTGTTGCTCTGTCCGCGTGATCAGTGCTTAAAATGATATGTCGACAAAATAAATATCACATTTAAAAAATCGATCTTTTTCGTATCGTAGAAAAAGCAATAAATAAATAAAAACAGTCTCGGAAAAAACTGAATATGTTCCAAATACGGAGCAAAGTCTATTATTGCAACATCTAAAAATACTTTTAAACAAATAAGTATTATAAATATGTATACATAATTTTTAAAGATTATTATATATTATACAATATTATATAATATTATATAATGATATTATATATAATACTACATAATATTTTTATATTGTTTTTAAATATTCCTTATTTACATTAAGATATAAATATTAGGCAGTATCTAAATTATAAAGAACATAGAGTATGATCTTTAAAAAATGATAAATCGTACAACACTTGCAAAATAGTTGATGATTTGACGTCGCGATACGATTATAAATTGCATATTTGTGTAAACGTAAAGAAACATTGCGGTGTACAAATTATGATATAAACATTCAAAATAATGTTAATGACACTAATTATTTAATTATCATAAGATTCACAACATCGGACTAGAAGGTAAAATATTATATTGCTTTCAACCTAATATTAAAAAATACTAACAAGATAAAATTTCTCAAAATAAATAAATAAATAAACAAATGTTTTCTAGATTCCAATATCGAAGATTAAGCATTTTTTTCCTTTCGGTCCGAATTTGCTGTCCCGTATGGAAGCATCATATATCGCAATGCAAAATTCGAAACGATTACGCTCGCGTGTAACAAAATGCCCTAACTACGTCTTGAGTACCTGTACGTTATCTTCGCATCCTGTCAGAGAGATCTCCGGGCTAGAGATATCCCCGACGTTTGGCTCGATCTCGTCGGCCTCCAACGCCAGAGTTGCTAGACTCTCCGCGCCGCATGTGCCAGATGCCTGACAACGCGCCTCGCACTTTTTGTGACACACCATGCCGCAATCACGACACTGTACTGCATCCTTTAACCAAATCTGCGCAGAAAGTAATCCGAATAATCTCCAGGTAGAATAAAATAGAGATAAAATAAGTTTAGTAAAAAAAAAATAAAAATTGTCCTATTTTTAAACCTTAAATTACACAGATATAATTACACAAATATATCTTACATTCCACAGATTTTCCATTCTCTCTCTTTCTCCTCTAAATATCACAAATTTTTACAAAGCGTAATTTTATTGATCTTCTCTTGCACATATAGGCAATTCGACAAACTATAAATGAATTATTAGTTTGTAATGCCATACCTTTTTCGTACAAAAATCGCAATGTGTCGCTCTGTGGAAGTGCGTCCTGATAAAATCGTGTATTTTTCTATCAGTGATTTCCTCGCTTGGAATCGGTTGAGTTTTGGCAGTTTCTGCGTTTTCCTTCTTCCCGAAATCATTAACCCCTTGATCGCTCGGCCGACAAGATTCCCATACGTACGATAGCAGAATGTCGCCGTAACAGAGCGTCGGATCGAATCCCGAGTAACCTTGCAGTCTTACGTAGGACGTCGCTAAAGAAGCTTTAAAAGAAATTCTATAATTAATTTTTTAAATTTACTTTTAATTAATTTTTTTTCTGAATCTGAATAAAATCCGATAGAATTCCAATGAGAAACTTATTCCCTTATTATAAATCAATTCCACTTAAAAAGATTTATCGAAACTTTTACAATTTTATATACTTTTATATATTTTATATACATATATATTATATATATTACAATATAAATATTTTTAAAACAGACAAGAGAAAAAAATAATTTTCGAAACTTACCACTATCGGGAGGCAATAAAGCATGACATTTTAGGTAATGCCCAGTCGTGGAAGTGCAGCACTGCGCCAGGATTAATTTCACAGGCGCGTTTATGTAGCCTAGCAATCTCGGTGGTGTTTCACCGCCCTTCACCCGGCCCCATACGCCCACATTTAAATATTGCGATTCAGAATCGATGCGGAAGCTCTTGGTCTCCTCGAAGGTGATCAGAGAGGCGTACGGCTTCTCCTTCGTGTTGTGGTACAAATCGGCGATGTTGGTCGTGTTACTGTCGTCCGGAAGATAAAATTGAACAGTGCTGGATGACGCCGACGACGTGGAAATTACCGAGATTCGTCGAGACGGCGTAGTGTCGGGCGTCTGGGCGACTTCTTCTGTCTGGCTGCTGCTCTTTCTTCTCTTGAATAGCTTACTGCTGTCCGATCGGGTGTCCGCGAGATCATTTTCAGAATCTCGTAGATCGGAGAACTTGATCTGTGCCTCAAACTTGATCTTTCCGGCGTCTTCCGCGCTCGGACTGTCCAGCCTGCCCACGGAATCGCTTTTCGACGCTTTCCTTTCTGCAAAGGGCGTCCTCTCGTTATCCGTTTTCTGTCCTCTTTCGCTCGAGTACCGTCTCTCCACCCTGATAATGAAACGTCGCTGTACAGCGGATTTGACAAACTTCGCTACTTGGTTCATGCTCGACACTTTTTTGCCATCCACCGCTACCAAAATGTCGCCTTTCCTCATCTCGGCGATCGCCGCCGGACTCCCAGACACTATGGTCTCGACTAGCACGCACATCTGGCCGATCTCCGGCACGACCTCCTGCTTGAACACCACGCCCAACTGCTGGGAGCCCGTCTTACTGATGATCAGGTCTAGCACCATGTACGGAACGCCACTGTACTGCGTCAAATAAATCCATGGCGTAGAATCTATGCTCATGGTGCAGTACACTTCCACTTGCGACACGTCTTCGCCATTATTGAAGACGATAGACGCGAGGTTTAATCTGCTGATATCCAATAATACGACCTCCAAGTATCCTGGAGTGAGCTGAGTACTGGCGACCTAAAAAAGTATGGATCGATATTGCGCGAAGATAAATCAAAATTAAAATTATTTATTAATTTTTATTTCTCGATTTTCTCGAAATTGAAATTTTCGCAAACGCACAAGTAAATTGTAATGTAAAGCTAAATAAATTTAAAGAAAACGCATTCTACCTCTGAAAGATCCACGGCCTCGTCGTTCAATCTTCGGAAAAACGGCTTGTAGCGCATCTTATAACGAGGTAGAGTATGCTTCCGCTTCACTGCCCTCCTAATCTGACTGGTGATAATCGAGATTATCTGCGGCTGTAACTGACGGCCTTGGAACTGCGACTGCACTTCCAGCTCCAAGATTGGATCCGAATAGAAGCTCAACGACCAGTGCGTGTACGGTACACGAGTAAACTGTAGCCTAGCTTTACCGCTGATACGCTTCACTGTAAAAATTGATACGTAAGATATAACACATCCTGTTTCCTTATTTTTCTGTTTAATATACCGTTATATGCGATAATACCTTGCAACGCCATGTAGGCTGTTTTACCGAGCAGCATCTTAACATCTATAGACAATTGAAAGTTTCCTGAGTAATGTAAATCTAAGGCCAAGTCCAGAGACTCCAGCAAACCCGTGTCGGCGTCGATTTTTGAGTCGGCGACTTCCAGACCCTTTATCGTCGGAAATTGCGTACCAAGATTCAAGTCTCTCAACTGGAAACAATTACGGAGGATTATCACACGGAAATGCTCCCTTACGCTATTCCAAAATTGTCCCCGGTCGAATCTTACTTTCACACTGTCTAACAACTTGGCGGTGGTCGACTGCGTAAGAAGCTCCTTGAACTCGTTATTCAATTTCCTGTAAAGCCATAGACGCACACGCTCGGCGTTCCGCAGCTCGTTGAAGAGGAACTGCAGCGTAAGGTTTATGGCCAGGTTCTCGTTGCCCTGGGACATCACCTGACGGGACATGCTGTTGTTGGAGTTCGCCCGTTCCTCCTGCACCTGTTCCACCAGCTCCTTAGGCAACTGCGCCTTGCCATGCTGCAGCTGCCTCTGCGGCGGAGTGGCCTGAGGTCCCGAATCCAAATACTTCTTAAACAGGTAAAACTGCACCGCCAGGGTACATATTACACCACAGACGAATGTAAAGACGGCTACCAGAGCCAGCTGCAAACTGTCCATATTAAATTCACTGCTGTTGAAGGATACCAGTCTCTCCCTCGATTATCAAATGCAGGACACAACGCAAACAGTGACACCCAGATGCGGATTATTATGTAAGTGGTAACGTTACACTGTATACACACGTGAAAGAAAGTCTCCAATGTTCATGCTAAAGGCGCAGAGTTGTCGAAGAGAAACCATTTTTCTCTGATGAATCAATCTCTGATGATCAATAACAGGACACATTGAAGTTACACGTTGTTACGTATCACCCTGCATGCAGCGAGAGAAAACGTTCCAAGTTACGCATATTAGAACCACAGCTGTCGAAAGAATCCAGTCTCTCCTTCACAAGTGTCAGCAAATTCCAAACAAAAAAAAACAAGCTGCAGAAAGAATCATGCTAATTAAGACACGTACAAAAGTGAGGATTTAATTGCAGCTATGTACAAACTTTTATATGGATAAAAAAATGTAGATTGTCAAAGTTAAACAAATTTGCTTCTTATTCTCAATCGTTTTGTATCATAAAAACACAATTTTCTTAAACTGCATCAATTGCAATTAAAAACGGAAACTTCACTCTTGCTCAGAAAAAGTCTCTATTAAATTTTCTATTATCGTCAATTGAGAGGAAAAGCTGTCGTACAATTTGTTTTCGTCGCAGCACCGCAGGAGTGAGCAAAAACACGAGTGAAAAAGAGAGAGAGAGAGAGGGCGGAGGACACTTCTAATTGTTCTTGAAGAAAAGTCGACCTCCGGCGGCTCCGCGGCTCTCGCACCGTAATCACCGTATTGTCGCTAACTACCTAACGTTGCATTAGGAACTTTCGGTACGGCTGAACGTCACCACCACACCACCTCGCGCCCGACAACGCGCTGCGCACGGGAACGGGGTCTCGCGGTCTTCACGGCTCGACAGGTATTCGGAGCACTTTCACTCGTCGACCCGCGGATCAGCTGAACGACGCGCGCGCGCGCACCAGAGAACGAGTCCCCCGCGTCGCTGCGTCCAGCTGCGCCGCATCCGGGGTGATCCAGGGTGATGGCGGGGACGACGTTCCACG